CAGGGAGCCTCTGCTTTAGTGACCTCTGGACATGGGGCTCCCAGCCCATGTGCCGCCCCATCCCCACAAGCCTTTGCCAGGCAGGGGGAAGGCTGGGGCAAGAGGACCCTTGCTATTTTCACTGCTACCCTCCTTTTGAGGCCTCCCCACGGCTCCCCATGGCTGCTCCAGCCTCCGCTCCAGCTGCAACCCCATGCTCTCGTCAGCAGCGTAGGGCGGGGGGTGTGGGGGTGGGGAGGCTCTGGTCCCTGAATGCAAGTGCTTCTCATTTGAAGTAACTTTTCAACCTTAACCACACTTTCAAGGCCCAATCCCCAGGGGTCCCCTCTTCTAAGAGGCCAGAGAGGAGGCTCCCCTTCCCTGGACTCCCATAGGTCTCCTGGTTAATTCTTCTAATGTACGCGGGAAAGGGAAAGATGTCCATGGAGACTGGCTGCCTACCACATATGTGCTTAGCTCATTCTAATTCTCATAACTCTTTGGGGGTAGGACCTGGTACTCTCTTCTTACCGATGGGGAAGCGGAGGCTCCGGTGGGTGAAATGAGCTGTCCAGGGTCACACAGCAAGTGAGTGGCACACAAGCGTACCCATCAGTGTGGCACTTGAAACTGGGGGTCTACGCTGTCTCTCTTCTGTGGGAATTTGGTCAGTCTGACTCTGAGGTCCCCATGTAAGGGCAGGGGACCCAAAAGAGACGGGAGCTCCCCTCTAATCCCCCTTTTGCTGCCCCCGCCAGAGCCGCCAGGCACCGTGGGCGCACTCCTAGGCCGCTGTGGCCCCAGCCCCGCTTGACAGGATGAGTGGCTCAGACGCGGGGCTGGAGGAGGAGCCGGAGCTCAGCATCACCCTCACACTGCGGATGCTGATGCATGGGAAGGTGAGTGGGTGGGGGGCACGGTCTGGTGTGGCCGGCCAGGAGTTTGAGCTCCTGTGTCCTGTCTCTGTTAGATCCCCTGTCCTGGTGGACGGGCTGGGCCTGGGGCATTGGTCCCCCCTGACTCCACTCTTGTCTTGTTTGCAGGAGGTTGGCAGCATAATTGGGAAGGTAGGTGCCCAGTTCTGTTCTGTGTGGACCTCAACCTGAGGCCTCAGGCCAGGTCAGGAGGTAGTGACGGCTCAGGCTAAGAGCCATTCCATATTTTTTGTCCCACAGAAAGGAGAGACTGTAAAGCGAATCCGGGAGCAGGTGAGGATGGAGTTTGGGAGAGCTGCCCAGGGCATCTGGTTTGGAGGGGAGGGGAGATCCCTGCCCCACCTTTTCCCTGAACCCCACCATTTGGGATGACCAATGAGTGCCCTTGGAAGGTAGCTGTTTCTGGCGGTGGGCTGGGGCCTGGTGGGTGGGTAGGCAGACAGGTTCCTGGCAAGGAAGTGGAGAAGGAGCCCCACTGCCCGGCCTTGTGTGTCCCCGCAGAGCAGTGCCCGGATCACCATCTCTGAGGGCTCCTGCCCTGAGCGCATCACCACCATCACCGGGTCTACAGCTGCTGTCTTCCATGCGGTCTCCATGATTGCCTTCAAGCTGGATGAGGTCTGTGGCTGGCTGGGCTGGGAGGCCGGGGGAACAGGGCTCTGACTCCACACAGTGGCTGCAGGTGGCAAGGAAGGCCAAGCCTGGCGGGGCAGGGTTCTTTCATTAGGGTAGGACCTGGGGAGGGCTTCTTTCCTTCAAACCCCAGCAGCAAGGTGCTCCCAGGGGTGGGGGAGCAGCAGGCGCATGCACAGCCAAACCACGGTCTTCCTGCCCAGGACCTTTGCGCTGCTCCTGCAAATGGTGGAAATGTCTCCAGGCCCCCGGTGACCCTGCGCCTCGTCATCCCTGCAAGCCAGTGTGGCTCACTGATTGGGAAGGCCGGCACCAAGATCAAGGAGATTCGAGAGGTGAGGAGAAGGGGGATATCACCCGCAGGGAGTCCTACCTACCCTTCACTTTAGAGAGGGGACCTGGGCTTATGGCTTCCTGTCCCCCTGGAGAGCTTGGAGTCTGGGCAGCTCTAGTCTGGGTTATGAGGGCAGCCAGAAGTGGCCCCTGTTCTCTGCTTGCAGACCACGGGTGCCCAGGTGCAGGTAGCCGGAGACCTGCTCCCCAACTCTACAGAGCGTGCTGTCACCGTGTCCGGGGTGCCTGATGCCATCATCCTGTGTGTGCGCCAGATCTGCGCTGTTATCCTGGAGGTGATGCCTTGGTGCAGGGAGAAGGGATGGGGATGGGCCCTGGGCCTCCTTGTCAGGCCCCCTAACCCTATGCATGTGGCACCAGGTGGAGGCAGGGCAGGGCCACAGGGATGGACGGGGAGCTCTGGATGCTCGGATGCATTTACCTGGGGGTCATAGGGAGGGCCTTGGGAACACAGGGCCCTTGGGGAGGTCAGAGGGGCCTAGAGGGGTCTGATAGAGCCTCCCCCACTTGTGCCTTCCAGTCCCCACCTAAAGGAGCTACTATCCCATATCATCCGAGCCTCTCCTTAGGTACCGTCCTTCTCTCTGCCAACCAGGTGAGGTGAAACAGTAGGAGGGCTAAAAAGCATTCCTGGAGAAGGGGGGTTGAGATGGGGGACGGATGGAAGAAGGACTTGGGGGCTGGCAGGGGGGAGGACTGGCCAAATTGCTCTGACTTGTCACAGTAGCCCCCTTTCCCCCCACTTTGTCCCCACAGGGTTTTTCTGTCCAGGGTCAGTATGGGGCTGTGACCCCTGCCGAGGTGAGTGACCATAGCCCCAGGGACCCCTTCCTAAAACCAGGCCTCCTCTGACTTCTGACCCCTCTTCTTTGGCACAGGTCACCAAGCTCCAGCAGCTTTCAGGCCACGCGGTCCCCTTCGCCTCCCCCAGCATGGTGCCAGGTGAGAGACCCTGCAGAAGGAGGCAGGGGCGACACCCCTGGGGGGCCAGGCAGCACCCCCCTGGAATGTACATGGGGAGGCAGGAAAGGCCCGGAACCATGTCCAATTCCTCTTCTCCTCCTTCCCAGGACTGGATCCTGGCACGCAGACCAGCTCACAGGAGTTCTTGGTTCCCAATGACGTGAGCGGAGGATGGGGTGGTTTGAGGGTGGGGGGGTGCTTCCTGGGGTCTGGGCCTGGCCCAGGGTTGAATTCCACTCTCCCTGCAGCTGATTGGCTGTGTGATCGGGCGCCAGGGCAGCAAGATCAGTGAGATTCGGCAGATGTCAGGGGCACATATCAAGATTGGGAACCAAGCAGAAGGTGCTGGCGAGAGGCACGTGACCATCACTGGTTCCCCTGTCTCCATCGCCCTGGCCCAGTACCTCATCACTGCCTGGTGAGTGTGGGGTGGGGGTGGCCCAGGTCACAGGGCTTACGTGCCTGTGAAAGGCACACTTGGGGTGGGGAGAGCTGATCTCCCTTCTCTGTCTCTGTCTGGGTGTGTCCTCTGCCTTCCCGAACCCTGCCTTACTCACTCCATGGGGCCCCATCTTCCCCTCCACATCCATCCCTTGTGTCCTCTTTTCCCTTATCCCTTCCCTGTCTCTTTCCCCCGGGTTTCGGCCTCCCTGTATCTCCCCTCACCGAGTACTATACCTGCTTATCTATTCTTCCCCTGTTTATCCCCACTCTTCTGCCATTCCCATCCTCTCCCCAATATCCACTTCATGTCATTATTCTCGATTCCTCTCTTTCATCTAATCTCCCCTCCCCATATTTGCCCTCACTTCCCCTTCTCTTACCTGCACCGTTCCCTTCATCTCCCCCCATATCCCTCTCTCCAGTCTAGAAACGGCCAAGTCTACCTCTGGGGGGACGCCCGGCTCGGCCCCCACAGACCTGCCTGCCCCCTTCTCGCCGCCCCTGACGGCCCTGCCCACAGCTCCCCCAGGCCTGCTGGGTACACCCTATGCCATCTCCCTCTCCAACTTCATCGGCCTCAAGCCTGTGCCCTTCTTGGCCCTACCACCTGCCTCCCCAGGGCCGCCGCCGGGTTTGGCAGCCTACACTGCCAAGATGGCAGCAGCCAATGGGAGCAAGAAAGCTGAGCGGCAGAAATTCTCCCCCTACTGAGGCCGGCTGAGGCACAGGCGCAGGGGCAGGCAGGACCACCGGTAGGGGGCTGCCTCTGCACCCTACCTGCCCAAGGAGGCTCCACCCTGGGCTCCCAAACGCCACTAATGCCCAGACGCATGGATGCACCCCCCCCCCAACCCGGGTCTGTGGGAGTTCCTCCTCTCGGAGTGGGAGCAGTTTCTGGCCCAGGGACTGGGAGCCGCAGCTGCCCCAGGGTAGGGGGCTCCACCCCCTCTAGCTCTATGCTTGGATGCAGGGAGCATCCTTAGTGCCCCCACTTCAGAGGGTCACTCATGTACTCCCCATCCCTTAGGGCTTTGCAGCCTACTGCCTCCCCCCCCCATGGGGATCAGGGAGAAGGGCTGGGGGGTGGCTGGGGGCCATGCTTCTCTCCCCACCTCCCTGCAGATTCCCGCTGCTTCCACTGATACCCTTTTGACTGGAATGGACTGGCTGGGCTTGGCAGAGGGCAACCCAAAGAGGGGACCCTGCTGGGCAGCTGGGGGAGTGGCATGGAGGCAGGGGCCGAATTCTCAGCAGCAGACACTCTGTACAGTTTTTTCAATCCCTGTTTTTGAATAAATATTCTCAGAGACCAGGAAGCTGTGAAACATTGTGGGTGTTGGCAAAACCTCCGGAGAACGGGTGTGGCCAAGTCCCCGCAGGACCCCATCTGTGAATCCACACAGTCCCCATTGGGTCTTGGGCCCTTCCACATGCCAGTTCTGGGGCTCCAGGGCCCTTTGGGGTCATGTTGTTGAGCCTCCTGCCTCCGGCACCACACTGATCCAGTTGCTTTCTGGGCATTTTAGAAGCTGGCAGAGGAGTTCCAGTAGGTTGTTCCACCTCCAGTAGGTTGTTCCATATCGGTGCAGATATCAGGGAAGTCCTTCTGAGTGTCTCTCCGCTGGTTCCTCCTGCTGTGGCTGTTACCTAGGCCTTGCCCTGCTTGGTCCATTCCTTTGGCTGTAAGCCCTGAGGGCCCTCTTCTTGGTGATCTGGGCCACCTCCTTGCCTTCTTTGGTCTGGGGACTATCCATGAGTGTCCAAGGAACCCTTAGAGATGGTCCAGGATACAGATGGGAAAACGGGCCTAGGGAAGGGTAGGTCTGTATACAAGACTATGCAGGGTAGGACCCAGAACCCAAGATTCCTAGCTCCCAGAATCCTCTTGGTCTCACTAGCCTGCAGGCCCCCCTTCTCCTGTTCCAGAGCCAGAAATCCAGGCAGGGCACCTGCCCGGAACTGTGTAGGAGGTTGGATGGGCTCCTGGTACCACCATCCCTTCTCCAGTCTCAGCTCAGCATGGGACACAGATCTCCTCTCAGGTGGCCCCTGGCATACTCAGGCTCTGCCTTCTTGGCAAATCTGGGGCTTGTTCTGGTGCCTCAGAAGGGCCTAGGGCAGGGCTCTCTGAACGTCCCTGGAGGTGCTGCAGAAGTGCGGGCAGGTGCCAGGCCCGTGGAGTGCACGCCCTCGGGGGCCGGGGCAGCGCCTGGCGGGCGAGGCGACCCAGTGCCCGGCGCACGGGGCGCTGCAGCAGGCCATACAGGAAGGGGTGAGCCGCGAAGGCCGAGTAGGCCACCCAGGTGACCGGCGCCTCGGCCAGGGCAGCCTGCGCGGCGGGCGCCAGGCACGCACAACCGTAAGGCAGCCAGCAGGCGGCAAACTGGCCCACGGCCAGCGCTGGGGCCAGGGCTGCTTTGCCCCCAGGCAGGCGAGGCCGGAGGGGCGGCAAGATGGAGAGGCGGCTGTCCAGAGAGTCGGAGCGCGGCCGGGAGCCGCGCGCGGGCCGCGGGGGCCGCAGGGCCGCGCGGCGCGCCACGAGGAAGATGCCGCTGTAGGCGCCGAGCAGCAGGAGGGCGGGCAGCGCGAAGGCCAGCAGCGCCCAGAGCGGCCGGAAGGGCCCGAGGCCGCCGGCCAGGACGGAGCAGCGCGCCGGGGCAGGGGGCGGCGCGGGCGGCGGCCCGAGCAGGGAGAGCGCGCCCAGCAGCCCCGCGGCGGCCCACACGGCCGTGAGCACCAGGCCGGGCGGAGGCCGCGCGCCGGGCCGCAGCGGGTGCACTATGAGGCGGTAGCGCGCCAGGCCGAGCGCGGCCACCCCGAGCGTGCAGGCGGGCAGCAGCGCCGCCGACAGGAAGCGCGCCGCGCGGCACGGGGCGGGGCCCAGGCGCACGCGGCCCAGGCCCGGCGGCGGCGCGGCCAGCAGGCCCAGCGGCATGATGGAGGCGGCCGCCAGCAGGTCCACGACGCACAGGTGCACCAGGTAGAGCGCGTCGCGCAGTCCCGGCGTGCGCAGCACCACGACCAGCAGCGCGCCGTTGCCCAGCAGTGCTGCTGCCTCCACGACGGCCGCCAGGATCAACCCCACCGAGCCCGCGACTTCTGAGGTGTTCGGCCCTGTGGTGTTGGCCATTCGAGCGCTTCAGGCCTCACCCTGTGCTGGGCTGCAGAGAGCGGAACGGAGCATCTCTCCCCACCCCCACCCCCCTTCCCATCACCTGTCCCTTGCTCCTCTGGCCCTTCGCCTCCGAGGCTGCCCTGGCGCCGGCTCCGTTGCCCAGGCTGCCATCCTGTCACAGGGGCTTGGCCGGCCCCATGGAGAGGTGCAAGGCTGCGACTTCAGCTCTCTCTTCTGCCCCGGCAACTCAGCCTCTGCTGGAGATGGTACCGGCTGACACTCTGATGTTGCCCTTTAGAGACACACAGAGCTGGCAAGGGAGGAGCAGGGCCTGGCACCAGCCCCCTGGGTCCTAGCAGCTGCCGGCTGCCGGCTGGAGGCTGTGCCTGGGACGTGCTGCGGATGCCTCTGGAGGGAGGCCCAGAGCAGGCGCAGGCTGGAGTCTAGACTGAGGACATCAGAATGTGGGCTTTGGAGTCAGCCCGACCCTGCTCTGCCTTTCCCTGGGGCGGGAAGTAGCCCCCCACATGCTCTCCCCTCTCATCTCCATTAGTGGGGGTAATCAGATCATTCAGCCTTTGTCCTGAGGGGAAACTGAGGTACCAGTGATACAAGAGCTGGAGCAGCGAGGGCTCCAGGAGGACTAGTTCTTTCAGACGAGGCTAGGTAAGGTGAGGGGAAAATCATAGGACTTGGCGCTTAGTAGGCTCTCGACTGGGCTTAGCTTGGCACAGAATAGGTGCTTCATGATAGTATGTAGAATTAATGAGAGGAGGCCTTGGGGAAACTACTGTTTTTGTTCGATTTTGTTAAAGATGTTATTGATTTATTTGAGAGAGAGCTTGAACATGAGGTGGGGGAGCGGTGAGGGGCAGAGGCAGAGGGAGAAGCAGGCTCCCCGCTGAGCAGGGAGCCCGACGCGGGGCTCTATCCCAGGACCCCGGGACCATGGCCTGAGTTGAAGGCAGATGCTTAACTGACTGAGCCACCCAGACATGCCACTGTTTTTGTTTTAATTGAAGTAGAGTTGACATACAATACTACAGAACTTCAGGTGTACAATGTAGTGATTCGACAATTCTGTACTTCCCAGACTCCTTTGCCAGTTGGTTTTGGGGTATATTCAGCTAAAAGAAGTCAGCAGCGGAAGACTGGAGGGTGGAGGGAGGGAGGAAGCTGAAGGTATTTTCTCTCTCATGCTCAGCCTGGGGCTCTGGGTCTACCTCTGTGGAGGACAGCCCCCTCTGTGGTTGGGTGCCTGCAGGGAGATCGTGGCCTCTATGCAGTGGAATACTATTTCCTTCCATTATCCCTCCGGCCCAACGGTGGTAGCAACTTCCTACTGTTGCTAATCTTTGGATTGCCTCACTATCCCCTTTGATAGTTCAGTTTCTCTCTATAAAATTTTCCTTGTCTGGAATCCCGAGGGTGATTTCAGCTTTGCTGACTGGATTTTTTTTTAAATGTCCTTTATTTAAATTCAATTAATTAACATATAGTGTATTATTAATTTCAGAGGTAGAATTCAGTGATTCATCGTTTGCATATAACACCCAGTGCTATTACATCACGTGCCCTCCTTCATGCCCATCATCCAGTTACCCCATCACCCCACCCACCTCCCCACTGACTGGATCTTGATTGACACACTCTCCAGTCCACTCTCTACACAGCAGCTGAAGTGGTCTAAAAACAAATCCCATCATGTCATGACCCTGCTGTCCCCCCTCTAAGAGCTTCCCATCATCAGATTAGACTCTCAGCTCCTTGGTGCCCAGGTGGCCTTCTCTCCACCTCTCTGACCTCACACTCCTTGCTGACCGTACTTCCAACCATAGCCGTCATCTTGCTGGTCCTCCAACATGTCAAACTGGTTTCCACTTCAAGATCTTCTCATGTGCTGTTTCCTCTGTCAGAACACACTTCCCTCGGATCTGTCCAGGACTTGGTCCCTCACCTAAGTCTGGGCACTGCTTGAGAGAGGACTTTGGTGACCATTTTTCCTAAAATCCCCCTGCTTCATCACTAATTCTTTACCCTGCCTTCTTTTTCTTCCTGGCACTTTTCCTACTCGATATATTTCAGATCTCTGCACATGCTTGTTCAGAGCCTGTTGTCCTAGCCTGTAAGCTCCAGGAGACCCGGGATTTTGTCTTCGTCTGGGCCCCTAGAACCCACCCCAGGCACATGATCAGCAATGTACAGAACTAGGTGGTAGCCACAATAGCATGAGCTTCCTGAGTTGACTCATTTCCTGCTGGAATTTGAAGAGCCTGGTCCAACTCTCCATTATTCACGTGAGAAAACTGGCGCCCAGAGAAGTAAGGAATGTGTCCCAGATCACACAGCTGAATTGTGCCTGGAACCCAGGTCTACACAGGCACCACTTCCTGTGCTTGGCCACAGCTTAAACGTGGGCCTTTGCCTCTAGGAGGTGAAGCTGGATTTTTGAGGTCTTAGTTCAGAATAAGAGGAAGTCCAATGCCTTCCCTTCTCCTCTTCTCTCTGCCCAGCTGTGCCTGCACGCCAGGGGCAGTGCCTGAGCCACCTGGGCCTGAGGAAGGCTCAGCAGGGCCAAGTGGGAATAGCAAATGAGAAAAGTGGACTGGGGGAAGGCGATAGGCAGGGATGGAGATGATAACATCACCGAGAGTGCACGCTCCCTCCAAAATAGTCCAACTAAAATAAAAATGGAGGGATAATGGAACACTTTGTAGCTTATCTTTCTTGGGTTTTTGTTTGGTTTGGTGTCTTGTTTTGTCTTAATTTGCACAAAGAAATACAGGAAGGATAAAGCAGAAACTATAGCAAATGGGTGGGAATGGAGTGAAAGGCTCTTCTGAGCACACATTTCTGTCCAAAAGACTGGACTTTTTGGAACGATGTCAGTGTTCTACGTATTGAAAAAATCAACCAACGAAGATGAGGAAAACCCCCTAAAAGTTAATTATAAACAGAAACAAATGAACCTCCCTATACTTCAAATGTATAACAACCATGCTGAAGAGAAATAAATAGCTCAACCAAGTGATATTTGAACCTTTGTCCAAACTGCTCCTTTGACCATTGACCCTCAGCCTAAAAGATAAGTCTTGAAAAAGATTCAGTACATCTTGAGCTCAACTTACAAAGTTTGGTTTTCACAATGGTATGGGTGTAGCAACTCTGAAACTCCTTTGTGTGTGGGATTAAGCAGTAAGTAAATATATTAAGGTTGATGGAAACCAAGGTTCTTCCCGTTAGAGAAAGGAGGCATTTTAACTATACATTTGGGGGAGAATGGAAGAACCCTGTGGTGTTGGATTGGAATTGGAGAAATAGACATGGATAGATGTGTTCGTTTATTTACATATACATATTTTCTGGCTCTCTTTGCTATAAGGACTTAAAAACAATGGTACCCCGGTACCAAGGAGCACACCTACTGCCCAAATCTTGGATGTTAAATACCATTTCCTGCTCTAGGGAACCAGGGCTCCTTGGAGAAATGGCTGATTCCAGGTTTGCACGAGATGAGCTTGGAACATTTTGTGATGCCAGAAAGGAAAGAAGTGCTCAAAAAATGATGTAGATCTGAGAGTTGGCTTGAAAGACCTTCTTCTGGCAAAATCTGGGACATTTTGAAGATCAGAATAATTACAGTAATGGATTATAACCCATCACATAAGATAAGAATCTACAAGTCCATACGGATAATAAAGAAAGGGGACTAGTGATTAATAAATATAAAAGAAATGAGAGAATTAGGTAACTGTCGTTTGCAACCATCTTAGCAAAAATTGATTTAAGTCATTGATTTCAGGTAAAAATCATCAATGGATATTAAAGCTAGTGGGTAAAAGTCCAGGAAGGATGGGACGCTTACACCTCAAGATATTTTCCCACAGTTCACTGATTAATTACAAACAGGAAAAATGGTGACTTTCAGGTGGAGACCCCTGGTGGACACAAGAGATTGAAATTAACATCACCGAGAATGAGACATATCCCTGTGGATATAATGCACGGAGGACACATCACGTAGGTCATATTCCTGCCCAAACTGCAATGCCTGAAGCTGATCATGACACAGCATCAGACAAACCCAAATCGAGATATTCTGTACAACAACTGGCTTGTCCCCTCCCGTATCAAGAATGTCAAAGTTATGAAGGGAAAAGAAGGGCCGAGGAATGGTTGCAGACTGAAGGAGACACATGAGGCATGACAACTAAATGCAATGTGTGACCCTGGACCGGACCCAAACCTGCTCTCTAGAACCCGCACCCCCATTTGGGGACAGGGTTACCTAGGGGGGGTGGCTGGCATGCCTGTCATGATTATAGAACAGTACCCCTTGGCTATATGCTGAACTTATTAATAATAGTCACATATAAGATACATGTGGATGTTTGGTGCCGAGACATGAGAAATGCTTGATTTGCCGGGCTGTGTCTGGGCTAAAAGGCAGAATCACTACATGGGTCCCCAAATGTTGAGAGTCCCCTTTGAAGGCTCAATGATCAGGAGGCCAGGTGTTGCGGACATGGATGTAGATCGATGGTGTGTGTGTGTGTGTGTGTGTGTGTGTGTGTGTGTGTCCCACATCACCCTTGTGAGTGCTCACTCCCTAGAGCAGGGCTGGGGCTGCTGTGTGGTGTGGCGGGTCCCCGACGAGAGAGAAGGAGGCCCACGCTTAGTGCAGCTGCAGCACAGACAAGCGGAGGCCAGGGAGTGAGTGGATACAATATTTAATAAACTTGCTATATATGCTTGAAGTTCAGCCTGCCCTGGTACTCACACCTCTTGGGCAGATGGTCTGGGTCAGGGTGGACAGCCCGGGTGGATGTGGGACTCCACCCACTCTCAGCCTGTGCTCCTCTAACTTGAACGGCGGCTGTATCTGTCTGTGCCCCAGTGATAATGGCAGTCCATCATGCCCGTCACCGTAGGAGGTGAGACTCTGGGGCTGTGGCCATGCCAGGGCTAGCAAAGATCGGAGCGGGGGGGATCATTGCCTGGGACACAAAAGCGAGATTTGGGGGCACCAGGGATGGGCAGGAAGGTTAAGGCTGATGGTCTAGCTGCCAGCAAGCCCCAGGGGTGGGGGTAGGCAGATAGCTCAGAGGTGAACCTCCAGCAGGTAGCGCAGGCGACGCTGGTTCTCCTGGTAGATGAGATACTTGCTCTGGGAGAACTGGGAGCTGCAGAACTCTGCACAGAGCACAGGCCGGCCCTGGGGCACCGCCACTCGCTGGCCATCCAGCTCCAGCTCAGTGTCCTGGGTTGGATCTGCAGGGCACAGCAAGGGCCATGGGTGAATCAAGGGTCACTGATCCTTGGCTTTACCAATAAGTTCTGCCACCTATACTGTCCACTTCTGCCACGGGGAACACCTGCTCATTCCCAGCTTGCAATCTCCAAACCACCGCACAGGCTGGGCCTTCTGCCTGGAATATCCATCCCATTTCTCTGCCTGGGAAATGCCTACTTATCTTTTAATGCTCAGTCATTGACACCTTTTCTTTGAAGCCCTCCTGGATGCCCAGGAGTGATGTTGAACCAGGAAATGTTTGTCGAACCACAAAGTGAATGACTAGTAAGGAGGGCTGCTTCTCTCTGTCCCTCTCCACAGCCCCTTCCCTGCCCACCTCCTCCCTGAAAGCATCCTGGTCCCCTAGCTCAGCCCCAGGCCTTTATCCTCAGGCCCATCCAGCTTTTCGGGACTCACCAGGCTCTGTGTGGCCTCGGGCAAGGACACTGTTGGAGCCAGAGGTTGGCTGTTTCCAGCTGCGCTCATCGATGGTGATGTGGTGCTCTCTGCCCAGTGCCACCTCCCCCAGGGACATATAGCCAATTTGGTGGGCTCCACAGGATATGCCAGTAACCGGGGGACCCAGGGAAGCTCAGCATGGGCAGCCTGGCCCTCCTACCTGACTCCCTGGCCCCTGCTCTGCTGCACTATTATTTCCTCTGGCTTTGTTGACCCAGCCCAGAAAAGTGCCCCCTCTTCCTGCATCCTTAAAAACACCCCCTTGTCCTGGCTGTGCTCCCTCCCACCCCTCCCCTATTCCTTGGACCCCAGAGAGCAGGCCTCTGCAGCCCCTGCCCCCCACTCCAAGGTCAGCAATGGGCTCCAAATGACCAAATCCAGGGTGGACGCCTTTTCTCTCTGGCCTGTTCTGCTGATTTTGCCAGTGGCATCCTTCACCCCCGACCCTGGGACCCCCTTGCACTGGCTCTCCCGAAGCCACCTTCTACTCCTTCTTAGGCTCCTCTTCCCTCCTGGTGGACCCCTTGACCTTGGGCAACTTCAGATATCCTAGAACATCACTCCCATCCAGCCTCTCTTGGCTTGGTGGGTGGTGTGGGTCTCCAGCGATGGGCTGGCTGAGAACCCAGTCTGGGGAGGTCTCCTCAGTGAGGACACCTCTGGACAGAAACTTGGGGGTCATCAGAGATACCTCTGACCCTATCACACAAGCTGCCCATCCCACCTCTCATACATCCCTCTCATGGATTCTCTCTTCCCCCACCTCCACTGCCTGGGCTGGGTGCCCATCACCTCTGGCCTGGGTGAGAGCACGGCTTCCCTGTGCCTCTGGCCTCAGCTGCCCTCCCCATGGTTGCAGAAGCTGCTGTATATAAGTCTGGTTAGGGGCCCCATCACTGTCTGGATAAACTCCTTTGATGCTCCAGGCCCCAGTCCCCACCCAGAACAGGCATTTGCTCAGATCTTTATCATCAGGCTGTGTGCAGAGGTCCTGACCTGCTGCAGCCTCCCAGGCTTCGTGCCTCCTCCTAGCTTCTTGACCTCCAAGCCTCCTCTTCCCCCCCCCCCCCCCCCCCCCCCCCCCCCCCCCCCGGCTGGCACACTCATCCTATCTGCATCACCTTCTCCGGGAAGGGAAGTTGCCTGGGGCTTCTGACCTGTCCCTGACCAGTTGCGCTTCCTCTGAGTCCCCGCCCCCCCTTCCCCAGGGTGCCCCGCTGAGTGCTCTGGTCAGTAGCCACTCAAGGATTCCTCTCCTGGATCCACCGCGAGTTGGGCAAGCACTAGGCCCAGTCCTCCCTCGTGTCCCGTGCCGGCCCCGGGCTTGGCCCCGCGGGGTACCTCACCATAGCCGGCTGACTTGCTGTTCTCTGAGGCGAAGCAGATGCCCTTGCCAGCGCGGCCGCCGGAAGGTGGCATGACGCGGAGCCCACTGGTGAGGGTGGCGGCCACCACCGCCACGTTGATGCCATGCCACAGCAGCTTCCGATTACCCAGCTTGGAGTGGGCCTGGAACCTGTCTCCCTGGAGGGAAGGGGGTGGGGGCAGGGAGGGTCATGCTATCCAAGCTCAGGTGTTTCTCCCTGCTGTTCAGAGGGTACGACCAAGGCCAAAGGCCCCTCTGGCCAGTCACACACACTCACGCACATATGCCCAAGACCTGGGCCTGGGGGAGGCTGAGGAGTTGTTAAACCAACTCGCTGATAGGCACATAAGCCAAGGTCATCTCCGTAAGGGGCAGGTAGCGAGGGGGAATGGGTTGGGGAGACCCTCCCTCGCCTCCCCTTCTCGGTTCACTTCCCAAACATGGTGAAGAGCCGGGCACCTGTAGCTGTGGCCAGTCTGTTCTAAGTAGGCGGGTATCACCTGCAGGAAAAACAGAAGCTGGCTGCCGAGGGTGAGAGACGTGTGGACAGAACCCCACTGTGGCCTCCAGTTCCAGAGCTCTGCTCAGGCCCTACCGACACAGGGAGAGAAGGCCAAGGGCAGGCGATTCCTCTGCATGCCAGGAGGGCAGGTGGGCAGAGGGACAGTGCCTCCTGTCAGCCTGGTTCCTCTGCGGGACCGGCCCACCTTATACTCGGGCGCCTCTGGGTCCAGGCTGGAGCTGACACTTAAGGAGCCGGTAGTCTCGGTCCAGTGGGTGTGGCACCCCCTCCACCTTCTCCTCCTCGGGGGATGCCTGCAGGGTCTGGGCCAGCTCGATGTCGGCCAGCACCTATAGTGATGGGCATGGGCGGCTTGTGTGGCCGCTTGACTCCCAGCCTCCTCCTTTCCATATGAGTGGGACCATGGCCACCCCACCTGTCTGTCCGCCTCTGCACCCCTACCCCATCCACTGGTCTGGCCTTCCCCTCCCCTGTTCTTCCGGCTACCCATTCCGTCCACCTCTCTGGGCCTTCTTGGCCATCTGTCCCCCATCTCCCTTGCCCCGTCTGTCCATCTGCCCGCTGCCTGCCCCCCTGCAGAACCTCACCAGCAGCATGTCCTTCTTGGCCTGCAGGAGCTCAGGGGATTTGATGGGCGGGGCCTGGTTGCGGCTGAAGTTGTGGGGAATGACAGTGTAGAAGTGGGAGGACAGTGCCTCCAGGCTGAGGCCACCGTCCGTGGGGGCTCTCAGCGCCACCTCCAGGGCCTCCAAAGCCTCGAAGCCTCGTGCAATCTGCTGCTTGCTCAGCTTCCCTAGGGGCATCTTCTTCACATCTGGGGAGGGGGTTGGGGAGAGTGGGGGAGACTCAGCCCTGCAGCCCTGCACCCCGCCCCGGGGCCCCCACCACCCTGCCTGGCTCCTCTCCCCTCACCGAGGTTCATGAGGGTCATGGCATTCTTGAACATGTCCTTGCTGAAGATGTTGGTGATGAGCTTCCGTGTGGCTGCGTCCAGGAAGCAGGGCCATACGTGCTGTACCATGGCCCTCACGGGGTCTCCATCCACCAAGGGGTAGAGGGCACGTGGGCGGGAGCAACTGGGCACAGCCAGAGCAGAGCCTGGCCTTAGACAAAGATTGGCCAGATTGAGGCCAGAGAGGGGAGGCCCGTGCCTGAGGTCACACAGCTTGGTAGTGGCAGAAGCCAACTGGCTGGGTCTCTCCTTCCAGTCCCCTCCCTTGTCCCAGGCCCCACCACCCTCCGGGCCACGTCACCTTCACCACGGCTTCCTGGGCCTCGTTGTCTCCCTACACTTCAATAAGCGTGTATTTGCCCGGGTGGGCCACAAAGTGGTCCCGCTCCACCCAGCTGTTCTTGATCTTGTCCCGAAATTTCTTCTCAAAGTCCTTCTTTGCATCCTCCAGTAGCTTGAAGTAGCTGAACTTTGACTGGCCCACCTCTCCCTACAACCGACAGCCTTCAGGAGTGTGCCCGCCACCAGCCGGCTGTGAGCATTTGTGGGCCTCTGCTCTGCCAGGCCCTGTGCCAAGAGCCCCTGGGCAGTCAGAGGCAGAGAGGGGGTGCAGTCACCAGCCGAATAAGCTGTGGGGGCCCTGGGGAGCAGGCCACATGTGTCGAGCAGGGAGAGGTGGGGAGGAGGTAGGTACAGCGTGGGAAGGCGGTGGCACTTACCACACGGCCCCAGTGGTTCCAGCAGGCGAAGCGGTCACCCTCTTCCAGCAGCTGGATGATGTAGAACTTATTGTTGTTGCTTCTGATGTTGGTCTGGTTCAGGGTGCATGCATAGTCTTCATGCACCTAGGGCCAGAGGGGGCATGGGGAGGGCAGGCCCGCTTGGGCTGCCCTTGGGGGGGACAGAGTACCCGCCTGCACACAGACAGCGGTCTGATGCGGACAGGAGTCAGGCTGTACTGGGGGCATCAGAGAAGGCTCTGTCAGGGAAGGCTTGAGGAGGTCATGGTTCTGCCCTGCGGGACACAATCTGAGGGGACATGACTCAACTCAGGCAGTTGGGGGAAGTTCTGGAAGGACATGGCTGTGCCCTGTGTCAGGGAATCAGAGGGAGACATTCATTCTGCCCTGGGGATCTCACAGGGACACAACCCTGCCATGCAAGGGATCTCAGGGGGACATGGCCCTGTGGGGCTGCTTTAGGGGATATACGTGAACCCTGGGGAGGCTGAGGGGGTCAAAGTCCTGCCCTAAGTGTGGCAGGGGGAGGCCTGAGAAGCTCAGGGGCTTGCCCTGGGGTCTGAAGAGCAGACATGACCTGCCTGGATCTGATGGGATACAACCCTACCTGACCTTTGGGGTCTTGGGGGGACATAGCTTCCTTGGGACTCTGAGCTACCTGTCCAGAGCCAAGCCCTGGTGAGGTAGGGAGCAGGTCTGAGTGTATTTGTTTGTTTGTTTAAAGATTTTGTTTATTTATTTGACAGAGAGAGGCACAGTGAGAGAGGGAACACGAGTGGGGGGAGTGGGGGAGGGAGAAGCAGGCTTCCTGCGGAGCAGGGAGCCTGATGTGGGGCTCGATCCCAGGACCCTGGGGCCACGACCTGAGCCAAAGGCAGACACTTAACGACTGAGCCACCCAGGCGCCACCAGGTCTGAGTGTATTTGTACCTGGGAAGGAGTAGGCTCCAAGTCAGGATTGGGACTACAGCTTACCTGAGTCCCAGGGCTGTGGCTGAGTGGGCTGGATCCACTCGGACTATGAGCTTGTCTGTGGGGGCAGCTCTGAGGGCCTCGGCGGTGGAGCGGAAGCTGTCCTCCTCCTCTGCCCCCTGCTGCCCCTTCTTTTTTTCAGGGCCCTCACACTGCACCTGGGGCTTGCGCTTTGGAGCCATGGCTCTTCTGGGGCACAGAGGGGGCCCTCAGGCTTCATGGCCTCTGCATCCCACCTGACTGGTACAGCATCAACCTGCCCCACTCTGGGTTTGCCCTTTGGTGACACCCCCCCCCCGACACACTGCCTCCCCTTGCCTCCATTTCCCCATTCCCTGACCCAGACCAAAACCGGCTCTCTGCACCAGTCCCCTTTCCCTTTTCCCATTCACGGAAGCCAGGCCAGGACCCTGTCCAGTCTGCCCTCAAAGGGGCAAGGAAGAATGATTCCCCACCCTCTCTAGCAATCCAGGGTCCTGAAGAGGGAGGGAAAGTGAGAAGAGAATCTCTTCCTGCTTCTGGGCTCCTCCTCCCTGTGGGTACTGCTTGCTCCTCCCCGTCTCAGCTGACTCAGATGGACCTGGCATGGTTGCTGGGCTGAGTCACCCCAACTATGGAGGAGAGTGGGCAGCAGCTCCCAAGAGCCACACTCCTGGGACAGATCTGTCTCTCCAGAACTTGGCACCCAGCAGCCCAGAAACCCTTCCCGAGGGGTTCAAAAGTTCTGGGGTGCCAGTCAGGGTCTGAGACCTGTGGCCTTGAACTGCCAGAGGGCAAGCTCCAGTCACACCCCGTCCTGCCCTGCCCTGCAGAGGGCTGTGGGCAGGACCATAGGGCAGTCACCTAAGAGACGTAGGGACCTGAGAGAGATGGCAGTCACGGGTCTAGTATCAGGACCCCCACAGCAGTTCCAGTTCTAGGGCCTTCTCTAGCAACCCTCTGTAACCTTAGGCGGGACTTGGGCAGTGATTTCCCTACAAACGCCAGAGATGGGAGCAGGGGCAGCGCGCGGTGGGGGTGTGGTTTTCCAGCTATCTGGCCACCAGTCAAGTGAGTCAGAGGCTGGACAGGCGGAGGCCAACAGCCTGTCCCGTGGACCGGTGGACACTTGACTGGGATACAGCCAGTGCAGCCCCGGGGACTGATGCGTCCTTAGCGCCGCTCGTCAGGCCTGAGGCACGCAATACGTGTCAGCCGGTTGCCCAGTGACCTTGGGCCCTGGTGCAGACACTGCCTCCCCTCCTCGGGGCTGCCTAGATTCCTCCCGGTTACCTCGCGCCAGGATGGTTCACCCTGGCTCCAGCCCCCGACGGGGAGGAGTCACGCTCCGAGATACGAAACCCTGCATCTCTGACGCCTCCCAGCGTCCAAGGACCGCAAACACAGAGAAGGCCCTTCTGATCCGACCGGCCCCTGGACGTCAGCCCGCAGCAGGGCGCATGCGCCCTAGCCTTGGGCCGGAAGCGCGGGGAGAGGCTTGCTTCCTACTGGAGCCTGGCGCCCGAGCCAGTAGGAACTCTTGGAGGCGTGGTCACGAGCGTTTACCCTATGGGCGCTTGAGGGGCGTGACAGAGCTTCAGAAGGACCCAATGGAGCTGTGGGAGGCGGGACCCGCGGGGCACTGGGAACCTATCGGGGCACGGAGTCTTGGCCAGACCTCAGGGGTTTAGCAGCCACGTGAGTTCTCCGTGGTGGCAGCTACGCTCACGGTGGGCAGCATGTCGGCGGCAGCGGCGGCTCGAAAGCGGGGAAGGTCGGCATCGGGGCCCGGGGCCGGTGCAGGGTCCGGCAAGCGGCGGCGAAAGGTGAGCCTGGAGCTTCTGCGGAGTCCCGCTACTGGGACCACCGTCATCCCATACGGGACACCAGGGCCCCGGGCCCCTCCGCGGCTCTTTTTTTCGGGACCCCAGCTGGAGTCAGCTTCGTCCCTCTCTCTGTGGGCCAAATCCTGAAAGACCTTGCATTTGAGCCGGGGGGCCATCGCCTTTCCTGGTCCCGCGACCCTCGAGAGATCGGAAGGGGCGCTTGGTCAGTGCCGGGATGGTTGGGACGCCTGACCAACGAAAGGATTATTTAATTCTCAGGCCGACTCTGCCGGGGACCGGGGCAAGTCCAAGGGAGGCGGCAAGATGAATGAGGAGATCTCCAGCGACTCTGAAAGTGAGAGGTGAGTGAGGGAACAGTGAGGCCCAGTGAGTCGGGACAGAGCTGGGACTAGAACCCAGGTCTCTGGCCTGTTTGGCTCTTAGATCTTGGCACTTTCCTCCAGTTCTGACCCTGATGAGTAGGACTCGTCTTGAGGAGATTGAGAAGTCTCATCTCCTCTGCAGGGTCTCTGTGTGGGGAGAGCCCCCAGTCCCAGTGGGAGACCAGTGAGACCTCCCTGGTTCATGGCAGGGACCTGAGCACAGGCTGGACCGGCTGGTAAGGATAGAGGAATACATGAAGTGCTTGCTAGTTCTTCATCTGTTTTCCCGCAATTTCACAGTTGTTGCTCTCAATACATGCCAAGCACTGGCTTTACTATTGAGAATACAGAGATGAGCAGTCAGGTGAAGACAAAATGTGTTGCAATGGGATGTGTATTCTACAGCTCTGTGTTCTGGAGACAGGGGAGGGGACATTTAAATAGGGCTTGGAGAGATGAGGAGGAATCCCTCAGGTAGAGGCAGGGAGGACATTCAGGGAGCAGAGAAAAGTCTAGGGCTTTACATGTGTGGGAGTGGGAAATGGCGAGGATGGAAGGCAGGTGATGGCCGCTTTGGTGGAGGGCTCTGAATACCTCCCTCATTCTGCAGGTGCCGAGGGTAGGGCATGTTGCAGGGTTTCAAAGGCGGCTAACGGTGTCAGGCCTGAGCCTGTAGAAAGGAGGCTGTCATACCAGGGATTCTGGGGGCCTTCCCTAAGAGTTGGCTTTAGAAATTCAGCTTCTAACACTGAGCACATGCTGGTCTTGACCTGCTCACAGAAAGACTTAATATACTTACTTTTAAGGTCACTATGGTGGGTGTGTGCCTGGCCCTGTGCTGAATACTTTTAAATGTTTAAAAAATGTGTTGTGAGTGTGGGAGATACAGAAGGAGTCAACGAAATGTGTCTGGACTCTAGGGAGCAATGGTGAAATGATGAAGCTCTGTGTGCCTAGCACCTAGGTTAGGAACTAGACCATTTGCAGAAACTTAGAAGCCCCAGCTCTGCATTCTGACTTGAGTTAATAATTTCTCTGGTTTCCTTCCTTCCTTCCCTTCTCCTTCAGCCCCCCACCCCCACCCCGGTCCTCCTCCTTTTCATTTTCTCATTCAGGTATAATCTGTTTGTGAGTTTTGACAAACACATACAGTTGTGTAATTGCCACCACTATGAAGGTGTAGAAAGGTTTCATCACGCTCCAGAATTCTCCCTGCTCCTTTGTAGTCAGTGCCTCTCCACCTCCAGCCCCTGCTAACTACTGTCCCTAGCATTTTGCCTTTTCCAGAACGTTATATGAGTGGAATCATACAGCGTATGCTTCCTTTGCTTTTCTTTAGAGTTCCATTTCCCATGTGTGAACCCCTCAACAATTGATTAGTTTAGGTAAACTGAGAAGTTCTAACCTTAGCTGGATAAAGGAAGGGCAGCACCAACCCTGTCGGCTGAAGGGTGGCTGGGCACTGGGTACTAAGTGGTCTCTGGGGCCTGGTTTAGCCTTGGCTTCCTTGAGAGTTTCCAAGGTTCCTTCTGGGGACATTGTGGGCAAAGTCATAAATGAGTCTTGGGAAACAATTGGGGCATTTGACAGGGACTAGGTATCTTCAGGCACGTGATCAGGGGACAGTTCCTGTGACCTACCTGTAGCTCCCAAGAGCAAGTCCTGGTAGGATGTGTCTTGAGTGAAGTGAGTGCTCCCAGCCGGTCCAGGGATGGGGCGTGGAAGGGAAAGCAGCACCTTCACCAGCACAAGGTCAAGCCAAGACCCAGTTAAGTTTCACCTGGAATCCCGTCCTCAAGGTAGAGGCTAGTGCTGTGGTAATGAGGGTGAGGCGGTGATGCCTCTTGGGTCCTTCTATCGGATCTAGGCTGGTGGCTGCTCCCCTGTTGGGGGTGGGGGGGGAGGTCTGGGATCTGCCTTTTCAGCTTTCCATGTTGGATCTCCTACTCCCTTTCTCATTCTTAGCTCACCCTCTTGTGTGGGGAGCACACCCTCCATCCTTTAGTGAGGTTTAGAAAAGACCAGTCCTGTGGTGCCTTGTACATCTGACAGGATCTTCACCGGTCGTCGATGGTTTAACTGGCGTGGCCTTCCAGGGGTTCACATTGCCCTTGAGGATTTTGTGTGTGTGGCTCTTTTGTCGGCCTGCTTTCAGTGTTGCTGTTGATTCCAGACCCTGCATATGTGACCTTTTCTCAGCAGTCTGTAGAACCTGCTCTTTCCCTCTAGAGTTGAGAGATTTCACAGTGATCGTTTTGGGTTTGGGATCTCTTTTCACCCTCATGTCAGGCACTGGGTGGGTCCTTTCAGTTTGGTAGGTCACGTCTTCCCGTTGTGTGCATGGGTAATCGTTGGCGCTGAGGGCCGGCAGGGATGCAGGCGGTGAGTGGCAGGGGAAGCAGCGGGGAGGCACGGTCCCAGTGGCCAGAGGAGCGGGCTGAACCCTCTCAGAGCCAGCCCCTTCCCGCCCACAGCCTGCCTTCCAGGAGGACTGAGGAGGAGGAGGAGGAGGAACAGGAGGAGACAGCCCAGGAGAAGAAGCTGCGCTTGGCCAAGCTCTACCTGGAGCAGCTCAGGCAGCAAGGTGAGCCCATGCACTGGGCAGGAGAGGGGCAGGGCCTGTGCCCACGAGTGCCTGCTGCGGCCACAGCCACCTGACGGGTGACTGATGCAGGGGCCTGGTGGGCTGCCAGAGCCCCTGGTGCTGGCTGCCCTGAGGAAGGGTGGCTAGGAGACTAACGGGCCTCCTGGGGCGGGGGGCAGACCTTCAGGGGGCTTTAGCCTGATCTCTAAGTAAAGACTGGGGTTAGGCAGGAGGAGACCTCTCCTTTGCCCGAGGTAGGCCGAACTTCCCAGGGGGACGCAGCCTGAGTGTTTGGGGCCCAGGACCCAGGTGGTGGTGGGGTGGGGATGGGAAGGGAGAGGTGGAGGCTTGGCCTGGGTTGACCTGCTCTGGTCTGTGCTTGCACAGAGGAGGAGAAGGCTGAGGCTCGGGCGTTTGAGGAGGACCAGGTGGCCGGACGCCTGAAGGAGGACGTGGTGAGTTGTGGAGGGAAGGTGGTGGGAGAGAAGGGTGGGGCTGGCCCTGCTCCTGGGAGCTCACCCCTGTCCTCTCTGTGCAGCTGGAGCAGCGGGGCAGGCTGCAGAAGTCGGTGGCAAAGGAGGTAAGCGGGCAGGGCACTTTGGTGTGAGATGGGAGTGAGTCATGGGTCCCACGTGGGTTGGGGAGCACATGGCCTGACTGGGGACTCAGGCTGTGGGGTATTTGCTCTGGAAAATGGTGGGCACTTGGGCAGACAGGGTCACGTGAGGGTCTGGTCAGGGTGGTGGGAAAGGATGGTGTGCGCCTGCGTGTGCATGTGCGTGTGCATGTGCGTGTGTGTGTGTGTGTGTGTGTGTCTAGGGGCCTTCTTGCCCAGGCAGTGACCCAGCCCTGCCTGCCCAGATCCAGGCCCCAGCCCCGGCCGACATCCGAGTCTTACGGGGGCACCAGCTCTCCATCACGTGCGTGGTCATCACCCCCGATGACACGGCCATCTTCTCTGCTGCCAAAGACTGCAGCATTATCAAGTGTGAGTGAGTGCCTGGGTGGGGGTCCGCAGCCTGGGGGTCTTTCGGGAGGGCTGGTCTGTGGCGGAGGGAGTCGTCAGGGCAGATGGGGGCCCGAGAGGGAAGCTTCTGGAGGTAAGTTTGCTCCTAAGGAGGTGTTTTCTGGGTGCCAGTGGAAGCTTCTGGCTAGGAGTGGGGCTGTGAGCTCCCTGAGGCTCTGTGCAGCCCCAGGACTGCATTCCTGGTCTTCCTGGGTCCTCCCTTCGACGGCTGAGTGCTGTCTTCATCCACCCTGAGGAGAAACTGGAAGAACCAATAGCCTTGGTCCTAAAGCACCTTCCTGTCCTTCTCCTTGGGGCTTCGCGGCTGCCCTTTCGGGTTACCATCACCGTGTAACAGACGAGAAGCCTGAGGGGGTTGTACAGGGGCTCACGGTGGCTGCGCCCGATCTTCAGCCCTGAGGCCACCACTTCTCCCACAGCCCCGTGCTGCCCTTGGTGGGGGCTTGCCAGCCGGTCCTAGCCTCCATCCCAGTAGCCTCTCTCTTTCCCGGTGTCAGGGAGTGTGGAGAGTGGACGGAAGCTTCATGTGATCCCACGGGCCAAGAAGGGTGCCGAGGGGCAGCCCCCCGGCCACAGCAGCCCCATCCTCTGCATGGCCATCTCCTCCGACGGCAAGTACCTTGTAAGGCAGGGTTGGCCCCAGGGGC